AGTACAGTTACATTCATTGTTGGGATCATGCACCTTTACATGGCAAGTCTTGATTCTCATTTTTTTCCCCTTACCTCTGCCCTCCCTTCACCCCCTCCTCCCCTCCCCATCTACAAACACTTTATTTTCATCTTTTCATTCTCTCTTACAAAGAAGAATCAAACATGTAACAGCCAAAACTTTCTTTTGAGTGAACTAAGAGAAATAAAATTAATGAAATAGCATATATATATATTAAAGTATTTTTTAAACACTGGAATAGACAGTTTGGAGAACCATTTGGGCCTCTCCCCCTTCCTGTTTTTGTCTTCTATTTTGCTCCTTATTTGCATATACATACATACATACATACATACATACATATTGAATAGTCTTTCTTATTTTCTTAACCCTCTAAACATGAAAAAATAATTCTTGGCTCACCTTAGGTCAAGCTGTGGGCTATGGTTTTGCAGTCCCTAATGTAAAAGAAAGAAAGGTATAGAAAAGATTGTATCAGAGGCATAGAGAATAAAGAGTAAACTTGTGGTGGTGATTTGCAAATGTTAAGCCAGTCTCATATTCAAGCCCCACTTGAGTTCTGCTTATTTTGAGTATTTCCCTTTTTCTCTGTGGCTAGCTTTAAATTGTTAAGTGCATCTCAGTAGATGCAGACAAAGCTGACAGAAGCCAACATGCACTTACGATAGCTCTTTCAACAAATTAGAAGTAGAAAGGAAAAGTAAACCTACATCAAATTTAATGGTGAAATAACTATCACTTTCCTGTAACATTGGCAGCAGGCTAAGGATTTGTGCTCTCACTATTCTTATTCAGTGCTGTGTTAAAGGTGCTAGCTAGTACCATAAAAGAAAATTTAAGTAATAAAATGTATAAAGAAAATAAAAGAAGTAAAACTGCCTTCAGTCACAGAAAACACGATCATCTATTTAGAAGTATCTCAAAAATAAGTAAGTAAAGTCAAGTAAGTGAGTTTAGCAAGGCCAAAAGATGCAAGATCAATATTCAAAAACAATTTTATTTATCTCTAGTAGCAATTAACAACTTGAAGTATTTATCCCCAGAATGAAAATGTGATTTAATTTTAGAATATTTTAATGTAATTTATCACATCAATATGTCAAAGCAAAAGGCTACATCTTGATAATTTTAGCCCAAAAAAGGCAATATTATGCATCTAATTCTTAACAATAATTAATTAGCTAAGAATAATGTGTAGTCCTTCTTAGGAATTCATATTCCACGTCAACAGCCAGCATTACACTAAATAATAAACTGCTACAGCAGAACTTCCTAAAAGATTGTAGAAATGGAACAGAAGAAAACAGAAAAAAGAAGGTGGTTTCTGTGGTTAAATTTGGGAGAGTTCACGTTGCTACTCTTAAAGATGTCACATCCCATTAACTTTTTAAAGTTTCCAAGAAGCTAAAGAGTAAAGAAAGCTATATAATCTATTTTTTTCCAAACTTAAACATGGATCTTTTCTCTTTTCTCATGACATCTATTAATATCCAAGAGAATAGGCCACTGGAAAGATTGCTCTGAGACATTCTCCTAAAAGTCAAGGAGCAAGTTCTGGACACCTGTATATTCATTATTATATAAAATGTCATTCTAGAAATAAAACATACAGATATTGAAAAAATGGGAGGTCTTTTTTTGTTGTTGTTTGGTAAATGATTATATTCTCAACAATAAAAATGGAAAACCAATGGAACAAATGAAGTAGTATTATGGGAGGGACTGCTTGTAATATACACAAAAAATTGGTGATTTCCTGTGTATCAGCAATAATATGTTAAAAAATATTTTTACTCATTTTCGTAAAAACAATAAAAAATGTAAAAAGATGGAAATAAATGTTTGTAGATGGGGAGGGGAGGAGGGGGTGAAGGGAGGGCAGGGGTAAGGGGAAAAAATGAGAATCAAGACTTGTCATGTAGAGGTACAAGATCCCAACAATGAATGTAACTGTACTGTATCCCTAAAATGTACCAATAAACTCAGTTAAAGCTGAAAAAAAAATGTAAAGCATCCAGGAACAAACTCACTCAGAAGTATGTGGCAATAATAAGACTACTGGGAATCATTAAAAGAAGAATTTGAATAACTAGAGAGACATTTAAGAGGATTGGGTGAACTGTCACTGCTTTCCAGACAATCCAGTTTCAATCAAAATAAACTTTGATCACCTATAAAATTTATGAAATAATTTTAAGGTTTTTCTAGAAGAATAAATTCATGTGTAACTAAGACACTTTTAGAAAAGATTAGCAGAATGAGCAACAATTGCTCCACCAAGAATTTAAATGGACTATCAGATTATAATGATGGGTTTTGATGTAAGGTGTAAGGCAAATAAATTGGTTTTAGAAGGTCTTAGGAATTAAGCCTAATACTTACACTACTGTATTCACAAAAATCTCAACTGAGGGCCAGGAATTTAGCTCAGTGGCTCCATGCCTGCCTTGCAAGCACAAGGTCCTTAGTTCAGTCCCCCCGACACCGCCCCCGTACCAAAACAAGCAAGCAAACAAACAAAACTCAATTGATAAAGACCAGCCAAGTTCCACGTTTTCAATCTTAAGGTAAATTCCAAATAAATTAAAATTTTATAGGATAAAAAGAAAGCTATGCTTACGAAAATGTGGTAAGTTTAGGTAAATATTTATACAACTTCTAGGTGGTTCATACTTGATTACATTCGAAATACAAAATTTTTAGGGTGGCAGATAACTAACCAAATTAAAATTTAGGTTAATTACCCACCGTATATAAAGTATACATATGTTACATAAATGATTCTGTTTTTGTTGATGATTAAAGCAAAGATGTATCTAAATAATAAAAGACATCTAAAGTTTTAATATTGTATATAATTTTTGTCTCAGGAAATTGTTTATTTCTTTCTAAATCTCAGTGTGTGGGGAAATATTTATATATGAAGGTTTATTTATTTAATTATATTTAATAAGTGGAAAATTAAAAGTAATTGAAATACCCCAAAGCTAGGAGACTGGTATATTTTGAATAATTTTATGTTATTTTAAAATAACATGGTAAAATGCTATGCATCTTTTTAAAAGGATAATTATTTATTTTCCATAACTGCTGTTACAAATTTTCACCAACCAGGTGACTTAAAACAACAAAAATGTATTCGCTTATAGTTCTGGAGGTAGAAAGTCTAGCATCCGGGGGTCACCTGGGCCATTCCCTGATGAAGGCTCTATAGGAGAATCCCTTGTACCTCTTCCTAGGTCCTGTTGCTCTAGGACGTCCTAGGAGTCCCTTGGCTTTACTAGCACATCACTTCCATCTCTGCCTCTGTCCTTACTGTTATCTTTGTGTATTGTTCTTGGCCATCTCATCAGAATACTATTCACTGGCTCTAACAACCACTCTAATCCAGTATGGCTTCACCCTGACTGTGTCTACAGAGACCGAGTTTCTCAATAAGGTCACATTCTGTTGCTGTAGGTGGATGTAAATTTGGGCAAAGCACAATTTAATGTGGTATAGATGATTTAGAAAAATATCTGAAAATACACTGAAATGTTTGCAAAATATTATTGAATTTTAAAAAGTGGTTAAGCAGTAGATCTGGTGTTGAGGCCTTTAAATAAACACAGAACATAGAAATCCTAGAAGCGAGGGTGAACGTGTATTCACCAAAACATTACAGGTGGTGGCCAACAGGCAAAGACTGGAGTGATTTTAATTGCGCTAATGAATTTCTACATTTTCTAAATTTCTCACACTGAACAAGTTTCTTTGATAGGAAAAGATGTAATGAATATGTAATACTTTTTCTCACTAACATCTTCCAAATCTAGGTTTCCAAACTGTTGGTTTAAAAATAAATTCATTTTTGGTTTTTTGTTGTTGTTGTTGTTGTTTTGTTTTTTGTACCAGGGATCAAACCACAGACCTTGCACTTTCGAGGCAGGCACAATGCCCCTGAGCTAAATCTCCAGCCGTGAGTTAGTATTTTTGATTGCATAGCTTTTGTCAAATTGGATAAGAATGTTGTAGAATCTACAAAGTTCAAATTCCACTTTTCAGTATGTCATATAAAAAAAAGAATATTTCAAAGCTAAGTACTACTTTAGAAAACAAGATTTTATTTTCCAAGTTACAGATAATTTGAGATGGCTAGGTTTGAAATGTTTTATGTGCTTATTGTCCTTTATGATTTAACTTTTTTTTTACTGAAATGGTCTGGGGACTATGGCTCACTCAGCAAGCACATGCAAAGCCATGGCTTCGATCCCCAGCAGCAAAACTAAATAAGTAAATGCAAAATAAGAATTAAAAATAGTTATTAACTGTATATAGCAAATTTGTCATTTTATTTAGGCATGATTGTTTCTGAGTGTCAACTTTTAAAAACCTTGTAGCCCTTTATCCCTGGGGTACTGGTGAGGTATTTGAAATGAACAGTTGCTGTGTCATTTGTTGTCATTTTCCTAGACAAGGAGTTGTTCCTCCAGGTCTTACAGAAAATGAATTATGGCGAGCAAAGTACATCTACGATTCTGCTTTTCATCCTGACACTGGTGAAAAGATGATTTTGATAGGAAGGATGTCAGCTCAGGTTCCAATGAACATGACCATCACAGGCTGCATGATGACTTTTTATAGGTAAGTTACTGATGTGTAGCAACACATCACTCATTCAACATTACAAAAGCCCAGAGTATATGTAAATAATTTGTAAATAATTTTATTGAAATTAATGTCATTTCCTAAGTGTATGAGTGATAGTGAGCTTTTTTTAACCATTCCATAATATGAAGACATCATATTGCACCCCATAAGTAAAGTCAATAAAATTAATTTTAAAGAATTAAAAATAAAATTGGGGTACGTAGCTGGATGTGGTGGCACATACCTGTAGTCATAGCTAGTTGGGAGACTGAGGTGGGAGCCAGGAGTTCAGGCCCAGCCTATGAAGCATAGTGAGACCCTGCCTCAAAAAAACAAAAATAGTGTTGCTTTGGGAAAAGTAAAGAAATATCATAAATGTCATCTCAGTTTTAGTCCCACTCTGTATAAATGTTGCTCCTCTATTAAGCAACAGGTCTGGATGATGCCTTTAAGTAGATATTTTATTCGAAGATCTAGTTTATCTTTTCCCTTGACTGAATAGCATCTTGTTCAAGAGAAAGTTGGTTTTCCCTGCATCACATACCCAAAAGCAAATAACATAAAAGAAACAGAGTCTATCAGCAAATTCTAATCAAATTATATAAGCTGTAGGTATAAGGATAGATATAGGATAGACAGACGTTAAGGTACATTAACAAACAGGGTTGTATATAAGAGAGACTGAGACCGCTTGGCCCACAAATGGCTTCTTTTTGCCCAAATACAGGGTCCTGACATTTATTTAGTGTCTACTGGAGTGCACCAGATGCTCTGCAGTTTTTATGTCATCATCACAGGAACCTCTGAGCTTGGGCATGAAGAAACTGTCCTCAGAGAGGAAGCCACTCAGGTCCTAAGCTTGTGGCCCACATGCATCTGGCCCAGTGTTTCGCCCCCTCTCACACCCTCCTCTCTGCTGTGCATACTTTCTGTTGTGTGCAGAGGCAGGGTCGCAGGTGGTGCTGGGTGTGTGATGGATGTCTCTGTTCTAGGACCACTCCGGCTGTGCTGTTCTGGCAGTGGATTAACCAGTCCTTCAATGCTGTCGTTAATTACACCAACAGAAGTGGAGATGCCCCGCTTACTGTAAAGTAAGGCTCTAAGCTTTAACCTCTGTTGCCCGTCTCCAGTGCTCATTGGATTAAGTGGTGGTATTCTCTTTTTATTTTTTAAGCGTGTACTTTTTTTTATTTTTGACTAATGTATGTTTGAAGTACATAACAATTACACTCATCATGGGAAATCGGCACACGGACATGACACGTCTCAATTCTTTTTTCTACCCCTTCCCTTCCCTCCCCACTTCCTCCATCTCTTGTTCCTCTTCCCTTTTGCAAAAAGTCTATCTCTCATTTCCTATTACCTTGTATTTTGCTCCTTAGTTTATTTTTACCTTAGGTTTCTCATATGAGAGAAACTGTCTTTGTGCAAATTGTTTATGTTGTACAGAGTAGTATGTGTCATCTTTTTTAAGTAAAATCTTTCTTTCTCCCTCTGTTTCATATAAATAGCTGTCTTCTGTCCTACTTCTCAGACAGCATTCATGCTGCTAATGGTGCTGGTAGAAGGTTATCACACCCCAAAGCTCTGTGCCCCTGTACAACACATGACAAGTGAATCAGGCCTGGTCCCTGGGAAATGATAACCTGTACTCCCATCACGCCTGCACGAGTCAAAGTCATCAGAATCAAAGCAGAGGAGTCAGCAGAGTGTTCTCTGCAGAAATCAAGGAGAAATAATGATAGTGTGACCTCCATACTTGCTTTGTTTTAAAAATAGTTCACTTCTGGAGCCCCTCAAAAAGTAATGTGTTTATGTGTTTTCCTCCTATTAAAAAAAATTATTTTCTAGGCAAGCCAAAGAGACTACTTAAGCACAAATGGTGGTATAACTTGTGTAACACTTGAAAGAAAAGTGTTTTTCCTTTTTACCAAGGAAAATGGCCTCTAGCAGCCCGTGGTCTTTTCTTGTCATCAAATGGAACCAAAAATATTGAAATCTGCAACCTACGGGTATTATTACAATCACGAGAATTGCTTGTGCTTATTGTACTTTGAAGATGGGCCTTTTAATATTTTGATACAGTGAGGCCACATTTTAATAGTGGCAGCATTGCATGTTGCTGTTTATATGTATTATTTGGAGAAGTGTTTCTGATTTAAGGCAATATGCGCCAAACATTGTGCCCCAGCTGCGGTTCTCTGCGTTCATAGCTCCCTCTACACTCCCTGCTACCTCCCTGCTGTGAGCACTCAGCCTTTTTGTTCCCTTCTTGGGGGTTGTAGTGCAAAGAAGCCTGTTTTGGGAGGTCTACTTGCTTTTTTTCTAGGTTCTTCCACTTGCAGCGTGACACTCTATGCTGTTATTTGGAGTCTCCACTTTTCAGCATACCCTTGTGTTTCTCTCACACTTTTTCAAATAATGGACCAGAGTCTCCTGACATGCACTTGTCATTTACACACTGGATCTTTTCCTTGCAGAGAGTTGGGAACTGCTTATGTCTCTGCAACAACTGGTGCTGTGGCAACGGCCCTGGGACTTAATGCATTAACCAAGGTACTCAGCTTTTGGGGGGGGGTTTTGTTTGTTTTTTGTTTTTTTATTTTGTTTTGTTTGTTTTTTTGGCACCGGGGATCGAACTCAGGTCTTTGTGCTTGCGAGGCAGGCAGCAGAACCACTGAGCTAAATCCCCAGCCCCAAGGTACTCAGCTTTGACTTCCAGTTTCTCCTCACCTGTCCGGATCTAAGGGCCTCTGTTATTGCTCCAAAGAATTCCAGTCATGTAGCTTTATTTATCGTCTTCATTATCTCTTGCTACATATTTTAATTACATCTTCCAAAGAGTGTGGGGAGGACTGTCATCCATGATATCACCCAAGAGTGTGGTCTGGGCCTGGCCCTATGTATTTAGTACCAAGTGCACCCTCCCCCAGTCCCAAGACCATATGGCAGCCAGGGTCTCTGAAGAGGCAGAAGAGCCAGCATATGAGCTTAAGACTGGGACTCTAAAACCCACATATCTTCAACTACACTAAGCTCTCAAAATTTGTAGGAGTCTGCCCATTGCTGGAAATACAAAAACACCACTAGGAAACAAGTTTTAAAAGTGCTCTTAGACCGAGTTGCCATACAACTAAGATCCTGCATTTTAAGAAAAGATGAGTATTTCCATTCAGTTCTCTAGGAAAAGCGACATAATGTTTCTTGGGATTATCGTTTCCACAGCACGTCTCGCCACTGATAGGACGTTTTGTCCCCTTTGCTGCTGTAGCTGCTGCTAATTGCATTAATATTCCATTAATGAGGCAAAGGTAAGAGAAACTTGTGCACAGCAGAGTCTATTATAATAATTGGCTTTGTAGAAGCTCTCGTATTAATATATGCAGAGGAAATGTATGGGATCAGATTTTCTTCACAGTACCTGGGGTTGAAGGTGAGGATGGGCCCATTGATATAAGAAGCTTAGTGATGCATTGCTCATTATTGAAGCAGGCTGCTGAGTGCGGTGGTTTAGAGTCATCTTTCTTCAGTATAATAAAAAGTTTCAAAGATCTGTCGAGCTTATACTGATTTGTGCTTGAATTCAGCAAGGAAGGTCTCTACCAAGTTTATTCTCTAAAATAGGTCCCTTTTTCCCCTGTGGACTTTTCTTTTGAGGCTTTTTTTATTATTATTATTATTAACCTGTATCTTTGAACGTGTTTTGTTAGAACTGGCAAACATCAAAGGAAAAGAAAGAACAAGAAAAAGCATTTTCAAATTGATAATGAAGAACTGTGATAGCAGAATTATCCTTACTGTGTTAGTGATTACAGTTAATAAATATTCGGTAGGGCCATGTGTAAGACTTTTGCTATGTCAGTACAATTAGTTGAAGTGATGCTATGTGTTACATCTATTTCTGACTTAGAAAGTTCCTCAAATTTGTATGTGAACATTAGAAAGTAGCCGTATCTTTTAATATCTACCCTTCAAATGCTGTTGTTATTGGAAAGGTACATCCTTTTTAAAAGGCGTACTAGTGTGCTTTTACCTGCGTGTCTATCACAAGAGGATTGAACTTACTCATGGCATTTAAAAATAGACACGTCAGCGCCAAAAATGACATTTGAGTGGGCGCTGGATGAAGTGTGGGGACTTGCTCTTTCCCAACACAGTGCTCTTTCAAGATGCTGCGTGAAGGTGTCTGTGAACTCTTTTACATGTGTTTTGCTCTGCAGGGAACTCAAAGTTGGCATTCCCGTCACCGATGAAAATGGGAACCGCTTGGGTGAATCGGCAAATGCTGCGAAACAAGCCATCACACAAGTCGTCATCTCCAGGATTCTCATGGCAGCCCCGGGCATGGGTCAGTAGAACTCGCTCATCCATTCATTTAGTCCAGAAGCCTGAGATGAGCAAGCCTCTGGTTATCAGTAAACACAACAAAAGGTCACTCCCCTTTCTGAAAATTACCTTACAGTGAGGGAGGTGAAGATAAATAAGAAAATAAAAGTATAGTTGAAGTTTAATATCCCTTATCCGGAATGCTTTGGACCAAAAGTGTTTTTGATTTAGATTTTTTATTTTTTTTTTTTTTTTTTTTTTTTTTTTGGTACCGGGGACCAAACTTGGGTCCTTGCACTTGCAAGGCAGGCAGTAGAACCACTGAGCTAAATACCCAGCCCTGTATTGTTTTTATATTTGTGTATACATCATGGGAGCTACTTTGGGAATGAGAGCTAAGTTTAAACGTGAAATTTATTTATGTTTCTTATATACCATGTATACACATGACCTAAAGATAATTTTATGCATTTTTTAATAATTATGTACACAAAACAGAGTTTGTGTATCACAGCTGAATGAGGATGTGGGGGACTTTATTCCCCTTGAAGATGCTGAATAAATTATATATTACATGTCTGCATTTTGACTGACCTGTCACGTGAGTCAAGTGTAAAATTTTCACCGTGGTATTTTTAGTGCTTAGAAAGTTTGTGATTTTAGAGCATTTTGGACTTCAGATTTTTGAATTAGGGATGCTTAACCTATATGTAGAATGGAAATGAGGACTAAGGGGAAACGGAAGGTTTTGAAGTTAGGAGAGCAGCCTGGAAGAAGACTGGGTGAAGATGAAGACGTGGGCCAAGTAGAACCAACATTCTGGGCAGACAGTAGCCACGGGGCCGCAGGTGCTGATCTCTTGTGTTGTGGCAGGCGAGAAGGCATAGCTGGGGTACAGGGGGCCATGGGGAGCCACAGAAGGAAGCCAAGATCCTGGAGAGCATGTGGATGGTTGCTTTGGCATTTCAAGCTTTGGCTTTTAGTCTGAGGGGTAAGAAGCCATGCAGAGTTTTGAGCCCAGGAATGGCATAATCCAACTTGGGTTTTACCTGCACGCATGCCTCTGAGTGCTGTGTAAGAACAGACTGGAGGGTGCAAGATGTTGTGTGGAATCCATTCAGCAGGCTGGCTCAGCTCTCCAGGCAAGAGACTGTGGCTGGTGAGCCAGACCAAAGGATTCAGTAGAGGTAATGAGAATTTGCAAAGAAGGATCTTGATCCTCACAAATCTTAAAAGAAATTTCCAAAAGTCCATTGAAAGAAATAATTTCCACTGAAGATTTATTTAATCAGAAACCCTTGGAACACAGAGCAAATGGAAATGCTTGGAAGAGTTAAATGTGTGCCAAGGAACTATTCAGTTTTCTCCATGGGGCTTGAAACCAGTGTGACCAGAGGTGGAGAAGCTGCCTTGTGTTTATAATTTCTTTGACAACCACAAGGTTGCCTAAAGCTGCCTTCAGAATAGGAGCCTAGAGATGATTCTGAGACATACTCAGAAACCAGAGGAAATAGGAGTTATAGTGCTATTTTCAGGTGAAAAATAAATTGAAAAACTGTGTTTAACTTGGTCACCTAGGCTTTATGCAGACATCACTTGGCTATTAAAAGGACGTTCTCAGGCCAAGGATTTAGCTCAGTGGTTCTGCCGCCTGCTTCACAAGTGCAAGGTCCCAAGTTCAAGGTCCCAAGTTTGATATGGTAACAAAAAAAACAAACAAACAAAAGGAAGTTCTTAAGTGAAGTTTTGGCTATTTTAAATTCCTTTCTACATTGTGAAAAGTTGAAGAAAAGTATGTGAAGGAAAACTGCATTTCCTACAGCCCTCCCTCCTCTCCGCAGTTCAGCATCCATGGCTTCAACTACCCACAGAGATGTTTTTAAAAATTGCGTCTAAGGGCCAGGGATTGTAGCTCAGTGGTTCCACAGCTGCCTTACAAGTGCAAGGACCTGAGTTCAATCCCTGGTACAAAAAAAAATCGCTTCTATGTTTAACATATACAGCCTTTTGTTTCCTTTGTCATTATTCCCTAAAAAATTCAGTACAACTATTACATAAAATTTATACCGTGTTGGGTATTATATACTGTGTAATGCAGAAAAGATTTGAAGCATACAGGAGAATGTGTGTAGTTTACTGTGAATGTAAATGCTGCAGCATTTATATAAGGGATGTGAACATCCACAAGTGTTCCCGAAACCAATACCCCATGGATACTGAGGGGTGACTGTATTTGCATCCCAAGATAATTGAGGGGAGGTCAGTGTTATCTGATTTAACCTAGGAGCCCCTGGGTGTCCCTGTGTGTTCTGCGGTGGTGCCTAGCAAGCCACAGTCCTGCAGCATAGGCAAACTGTGCCCAGATCCAGGAGCAATATCCTTGTCTACCTAAGAGGAGGCTGTGGAGTTCAGCCTGACATCACTACGAAGCCCTGATTTCCAAATTTACTGAAAACAATATCAGGACTCCTGTCTGCATTTGTTTTTGGTTTGAGTCTTTCTTGTTTTTGGTTTGAGTCGTTCCTGTTTTTGGAAAGTCACACTTGGAGTCCCAACAGCCCAACAACTCCATTTTCACTAATGTGGTTATTTAAAGCACTATTTAGTCCCCAAGGAAGAAGAAGCTCAGTCTTTCTGTGCCAGTGAAATTTATGAGGGCAATTGATATAATGAAGTAGCTGATGTGACAGTTATGTCTAGTGAACGTTGTAAATTAGTGAACTCATGCTGCCTACCACATACCAGGCATTTCACATGCGTTATCTTGTCTAATCGTCATGGCCAGTTTAATACAATTTCCCCATTTCATAGCTGGAAAGAAACAGAAAACTGAGACTTAGAGAAGTTACCTGATTTTCCCAGCATTATCCAGCTAGCAGACAAGCTAGCATGTACTGAAGCAAGATCTTTTGCAGTGTTCTCCATGCATTATAGACACCCAGGGAAAGTCACCTTTGCTTTTTTTATTATGAAGGAGAAAGTTCCTGATGTTTGCACTGTTGCCAGTTCAAAGTTACATGTAGAATTCTGTTCAAGATTATAAAACTCTGTAGCTTTTATATTGCTTAGGCAGAAATCGGGAAGATGCAATTAGTTTTTAATTTAGTAAAGTTAAATTTATTGATGTATATTTTATTTATCATCAGTTCAGTTAGACAAATGTGTGAGGTATGCTGTGATAATCTGATACATGTACACAGTGTAATGATCAATAAATTTAATAATTTAAAGAATTGCTACAAATTGTTTTCACTCTACCAGTGTAAAAATCACCTTAAAGTGATGTAAGTTTTCTATCAAACTGTTGGGGGGTGGGGGAGCTGAAAATGACATTAAACAAAGATTTAAGTAGATCTATCTTTACTTCTAGCCATCCCTCCATTTATCATGAACACTTTGGAAAAGAAAGCCTTTTTGAAGGTAAGCCCAGGTCTACTGTCATTTTCTCAGTCATTTTAATTACCTTTTCAGACTTTGAACTATACAGAATATTTTCTATATAAATAGCAAGAACTTGAAGGTCAGTGCAGTTGCTCTTATGTACTTAGGTATTTAAAAAGATGTTTCTGGGAACATTTTATTTCTCATCTCAGATTTGTAAAAGCTTTTGTAAATGAGGAATACTGCTATTGTGAGGGACACTCAGTTATTGTATGCCTGGTTAGGTAGAAATGAAAAGCGTGAATATAGAATATGTTTATATATCCATACATCAGGAATAAAAAATAATTTAGAATAGTAGTTTTGTGGACTACTGAATTCAGAGCTCTAGTGTTTATTTTCTTTGGTTATCACATCTAATGATTTATTCGTCTATCAGCTATCCTCCATAAAGTTCTGAAAACATTACAGAAGAAATTTTAACCAGGGAATCTCCGTGTACTGTATGCATTTTGTCTAGATTGCATTTTGTGGGTTCCACGATTAGTGCAATATTATTTATGCTTAACCTTCGTTTTCTCATTCGTATGGCACATGGCATGCAGTGGGATGGGGTGACTCATTGGGTTCACACTGTGTTTAAAAACTGAATGGCTAGATCTGATGGGAGCAGAGGCCCAGGTTCCTCAATGGAGGAGCAGGTGTATTGTGGTGACCATGGCAGCTCCCTTGGGATGAAGTGTTTTGAGTCTTAGAACTGTGACACAGTGAGGAGACCTATAAAGCTTTAGAAAAAGGACATTGTCCACACACCCAACACTTTTTAAATCAGGTAGAGGTAAGAAGAATTCTAAATACTTTATAGTATATTCATAAATCTGTACAATATGTATGGGCCCCAGTAGGACAACTAAGGTAATGAGAGAACATTTTGGAAACACTTTTGATGCAATAATATTCCTGGAAAAATAAGTTTAAAATATTCTGTGAAGAAATAATGCTATTGAGTGCCTCATTTGGGCAGTGTGCCTAGATTGTTGTGTGTCAGTGTACCCGATGATGTGGGGGAAGGGTTTCTCTCTTTAGCACCTCTCACATAGTCTCAGAACCTCTGGGGACCTAAAAGAGCTATATTCCCAAGCTCCAGTTTTTTAGAACCTCCACTTTAATCATCCTTATATGTCAATATTCATGTGCAATAGCATACATAGTTACTCTATACCAGCGGTGGCAAATCTATGGCACGCGTGTCACAACAGGCTGTTTGTTATCAATGAAACCTGTGAAAGGTTCGCCATCACTGTTCTATACTGTAGTGATACAACAGTCTCTTTGCTCCTTGGAGAGTTCCAGGGGGACATCCCCAAGGTTCCAGGATACCAGACCCTCAAAAGCCCTCTGAATCCTCATTCATCTCCTTTGGAGCTTTCTAGCAGTCTTAATCTCAAGATTAAACAAAAATACAAAACCATTTCATATATATATAAACAATGAAGCAATAGGTACAGTAGTTGCCACCATTTTCTATGTTTTCAGTTACCCATAGTCAACCGAAGTCCAAAAATATAAAATGGAAAATTTAGAAATAAGCATTTCACAAGTTTTAAACTGTGCGCCCTTCGAGCAGTGTGATGAAATCTCATACTGTCCGATACCATCTCACCCAGCATGGGAATCATTCCCTTGCTCAGCACAGCCCCGCAGTTGACATCACCTCCCCCTTAATCACTTAGCAGCCATCTTTGTTATCAGAGCAACTGTCCCAGTATCACAGTGTGTGTGTTCAAGTAACCCTTAGTTACAGTATTTTTTATAATGCTTCTGTTTTGTTATTTGTTAATCTCTCCCCACACCTACTTTATAAATTAAATTTATCATAGGTACATATATAGAGAAAAAAGCGTAGTATATATCAGGCTTGGTACTATCCAGCATTTCAGACTCAAATGGGGTCTTGAATATGAGGAGACTACTATGTAGCACAAAATGTGTAGGCTCTTTTTTGACTCATTTTGTTTTTAGTTTTTAAGTTTTTAAATTTATTTTAAATTTGTAAATGTTTGTGATACATAATAATTACATTTAATTTTGAGGAACTAATACATATACATGTTGCATCTTGGTCATTTTTAATCCCCTTTCCTCACCTTGAACCTCTCTTCCCCAGACCCCTTCCCCATCTCCAAAAAGTCTCCCATTTCCTACTATCTCGCCTTTATTTTGCTCTTAAAATTACAGTGAACCCTCAAGTTACAACTGTCCTGACATACAAATAACTGTGGTTACAACCAAAATTTTAGTTTTAACTTATCACCAAGGTCTTGAGTTGTGACCCGAATGCCGGCCACTTGTGCTACCAGATGGTCTCTGTCTCTGTACGGACACTGAGATCTGCTATATACAGGAGAGAGACTTTGAAGGGTAGAGGACCCTGAGCCTTCAAATGGCCAACTTGACTTGCAGCCAGCCCTCATGAACAAATTGAGTTCCTAAATCAAGGGTATTTATATTTTGGATTTCTCATATAAGAGAAAGCATGTGATATTTAACCTCCTGTGTCTGATTTATCTTACTTAGCTTTGTGGTCTCAAGATTCATTCATTTTCTTATAAATGACTCAAATGTATTCTTTATGGCTGAATACTACACTGTTGCAAATGCATGCTACATTTTTTATTCATCTGTTGATGAGCATATAGGCTATTTTTATAATTTAAGATTATAAGTTGTGCTGCTATCAGCTTGGGTGTGCATGCATCACTATGTGATGTGATATCCAGGAGAGAGATAGCTGGGTCAAATGATTTCTATTCTTAGTTTTTTGAGGAATTTTCATACTGATTTCCATAGCGGTTGTCCTAGTTTATGTTCTCACCAACAGTAGAAAGATTCCTTTTTCCCCCACAGACCTCACCGGCATTTGTTGTTGTTTGTTCGTTTGTTTGTTTTGGTACCAGGGATCGAACTCAGGTCCTTGCGCTTGCGAGACAGTCATTTGTTGTTTTTTGACTCCATGATGATGGCCATTCTTTTTGAAGTGAGAATCTTGATATTGTTTTGATTTGCATTTTTTCTAATAGCCAAAGATGCTGAACATTTTTTTTCATGTACTGATTGGCCAGTTCTACGTCTTCATTTGAAAAGTGTCTGTTTTGGTTGCCTACTTTTTAAATTGTATCTTTTCAGATCTTTTTTGTTCTTTTGTACTTTATAATAATTATTTGCCTATACCTGTGACTTCAAGAGTTTTAAATATTTTATCTTACAGCAGATTCAGATTCAGTGTTCTGTTTTTAATATCTAGGTCTTTGATCTTTTTTTTTTTTTAAAGTACAGGGTCAGAGATGGATCTAGATTCATTTTTCTGCATGTTGAAAACAAGTTTTCCTAGCATGAGTTGTTAAAGAGGCAGTCTGTTCTCCAGCATTTGTTTTTGGCTCTTTTGTCGAAGATCAGATGGCTAAAGGTAAACAGGACTGTTTCCGTGTTTCCTGTTTTATTCTGTTGATCTACATGTCTGTTTCTGTGCCAGTAACATGCTGTGTTCTGGACTGTTGCTCTTCAGTGTAACTTGAAATCCAGGATTGTGATGCCTCCTACTTTGCTCCTTTTGCTCAGGATTGCTTTGGTTATTCTGTATCTTTTCTGGTTCCATATAAATTTTAAGGGTTTTTTTCCTAGTTCTGTGAAGAATATTGTTGGTGCTTTAATTGGAACTGCATAATACTACATATCACTGTTGAAATATGGGCATTTTGACAGTGCTGATTTTGCCTATCCAGAAACAGAATGTCTTTCCATTTTTGAATGTTTTCTTCAATCTCTTTTTTTTCAGAGTACTGTAGTTTTTGTTATACAGGTATATTACTTCCATGGTTAGGTTAATTGCTAGGTACTTAATTTTTTGGAAGTTACCCCAAATGGTATTATTTTCTCATTTCTTTCTCTATAGGTTTGTTATTGGCATACAAGGACACTATTGATTTTTGTGTGTTGATTTTGTGTCTTGCCACTTTGTTGAATGTATAAAGAGTCTTCTGGTGGAGTGTTTTTTTTTATTTTAATGTATTACAATTACATATTAATAAAAAAATACAAAAACCATTCTACGAAAAAATAATTTTTCATAACAAAATTATTAGAGAATAATCATGGTAAATACACTGTGTATCATGATCTTAAAAGAATATATTTTCATTTGCTAATCTCAGCTCATCTCCTAATAATAGTATATCTTTTTTTCATGAAATACTTTTAAGTATTGACAGTATCTCATTCTGTATGAATTTGAACAATTTCTTCCTATTTCCCAAATTTATTATTCTTTGTGATCCTTATTTTCACTTTCAGTTTTTCACAAAAGAGAGACAATTCGATATTTACACGTGTGTCTGATTTAGCCAGTGTTTCCTCAAAGGACTAATATCTAGAACATATAAAAATTTTTTTAAAATCAACCCACCCAAATTTAAAGACCCAGTCCAAAAATGGATATCTGAGATGAATACACACTTCTCAGATGAAGAATTAGTAACAGCAAATAAATACATGAAAAATATTCATCAGTGGTCATTTGAGATATGCAAATTAAAACAATATTTTTGTATCTCACTCCAGAAAGAATGGCTGCTATCAAGAAATCTTCCAAGCCGGGTGTGGTGGCGCATGCCTTTAATCCCAGCACTCGGGAGGCTGAGGCAGGAGGATCACTGTGAGTTTGAGACCAGCCTGGGCTACATAGTGAGTTCCAGGTCAGTCTCAACTACATAGTGAGACCCTGTCTCAAAAAAAACAAACAAAAAAAAAAAACAAAGAAAGAAATCAACCAATAATAAATGTTGGATGGGATGTGGGGAAAAGGAACCCTTCTCCATTATTGGTGGGAGTATAGACTGGTGCAACTGCTGTGGAAATCCATTTGTAGATTCTTCAAAAAACTAGTATTCGAGGTCCCATTTGACCCACCTATTCCCTTTCTGGGTATCTTCCCAAAAGAATAAAAAGCATCATGCCATGGTGATATATGTGTACCCACATTT